GTTGCATGAGAATTCCCAGCTAATGAACTGTCCTTGCTTCAAAGATGCTCCTCGGGGGCGTGGAAGAACGGAGACCGGAGACTGGAACCGAACTGATCTGGAAAAAATGTAATTAAATGTGAGATGTTGTGACGCCTTTGTCTGAACTGAACTAAAACCGAAGATGAAGGTGGGAGATGGAGATGGAGATGAAGAGAGATGGGGCTGAGCCGAGTGCCTTCCCATGGCCTTTGCCTTTTGGCCGTGTTTTTTTTTTTTGGGTTCAGAGAGTCAGAGTCAGGTTGTGGCTGAGGTTAAGATTCCGATTCAGATTCTCCAGTCCAGCTCAGGGCGATTGCCCTTAGTGTGGGTAAGGAATCGAAGGTAATCGATGCTGGGCTCAAAATTATTAATGGATTTTTAATATCATTTGTGTCGGCGTAAATTGTATTTGAAGAAATCAGTGGAGAGCGATCCGAAACAAAAAATCTGAAACGATTTATTGACACGAAGTCAAGTACACCCCGAATCTGGCCCGAATCTGGAGTCTGGATGAGGAGGAGAGGTGTGAAAAATGATTGATCGACTTGGACTTGGACTTGGACTTCGATACGAATTCAGCCGTAGTTGTGTTAATAAAGAACTTTTGTCCCAGTGACAGAGTCCGGGGAGTCCGAGCCCAATTCGGGTCTGTCTGAAGACCCCTAAACATTTCGTTTCTTTGAATCTGACAGCGGCGGCGGCGACAGCAACGACAATCGACATAATAAGATAGCAATTATTTATCAGATCTGGCCGGGGCGCGACGGAGTCGAGCGAGAAGCGGGGAACAAACAAAAAAAGCGAAAGAAACGAGCACTTTTTGATTAATGAAAGCATTTCGCTACACTGTCGAATAGAGAAAGGAAAAACGAAAGTGTTGACTAGCACTGGTCAACATCGCAGGCCATGATGCCCCCGCGGAGGGAGACATTTCCATTTGTCCCAAACACCGATTGACTTTTCACCTCCGCCGACTTGCTAACCATCAATAACACCCGCCAAAAGGGAACCTGAAGTATCAGAGTCTCGTCACAAAGGCCCTCCTCAGCTATGGCAAGATTATTGGATATGTATTACGGCTGGGCTTCTTGGCTCGCCGAACTCGAATCAATCAAGTTTTGAGTCTGAGTCTGGGAACCTGGCCAAGATGTTTCACTTGCATTTAGTTACTAAGCCCAGGATCGTTTTTTATTAAAGTTGCAAGCTTCTTTCTGTCTCGCTTGCTTAGGTTGGAGTCCCAGATGGTGGGATTTTTTGCTAAGATATACAAATTCTAAGGTAGCGATCGGAAAATAATAAATAATAATTCTTTTCATGGGAATTAATATTTATAATATATGGTATACATTTTAATCTATCTATCTATCTGTTTGTACTTACATAGTTATTTATTTTTTAATGCCCAGTCTGCACAAATCAGTTCTAGCTTCATATATTTTCATTAAATTAAATTCCTAAAATAGTATTTAGTTTCTTGGATAATATTTAGTTATTAATATGAAAACTTAAATGTAATAATTAAGCATTTAAAAGCAAAATTTGTCTGTTTTTGCCTGTGAATAAAAAACCAATTTGAGTTTAAAATTTATTGTTTGTAGTAAAATCTGTATAAAGTCTAGCTAATTTTTAAACTTATTAATTTTCTAATATATATTTTTGTTTTTTTTTTTTTTTACTCAAAGTTTAAAACACTTTGCAACATTAGTTAAAACAAAAAAACAAGCGAACAATCGAGCAAGCACACACAGGTGCAAATTGAAAGTATGGCTAAAAGCGCTTACATAATAATTCCACTCCAATTTGATACATTTACATACATGTGTATACATGTACTCATACACACATTTGCACACACTTCAATATATATATTTTTATGTTGCACCTTTTGTTGTTATCCGCTTTTAAAAAATGGCTTAACTTTGTCAATGGACAACATACATATTGGTTGAATGAGTGTAAAACGATTGTTTTCTATGTTCGGGACTCTTGGATTTCAAGACTATCCTATCCTATCTTATCCTTTATAAAAACAATAGAAAAAAAACCATATATAGAAAACAAAATTATTTTATTTAGCAGTAAATATTTTAAGTTTGAAAGAATGAAAGCCATTAGAAATTAGTTTCACATGCATTTCAGATCAAAATACTATTCCTTTTTTCATTTTTATTACGTTAAGATCAGCATATATAGAATTTAAAATAAAAAAAAAAAATTAAAATTTATTTTAAATGTTTGACAATGTCTGTAGATAACCTTATGAATTTTCATAAATTAATACTTCACCATAAATCTTTCAGATTGTCTTAATTTAATTCACATAAAGCGAGTTTCGCTTTTCTTTTTCATATAAATGCAGCCTTTTCATAAAATTTCCCAAGAAATCTACAAATTTATGTTCATCAAAGGATTTTTTTATGCTAAAATGACAAAATACAATAACAAAGTAGTTTAGTTAGGAAGTTTAATTATTCATAGTTTTAATAGTTTGATATTGAGAACTCTACTATAAATATTTTTTCATGGTTTTTAAGAGTTTTTACTCGAACAAAAATAATTAAGGTACTTTTGAAGACTATTTTTGTATATTTACAAATTTTATAGCTTAAGGAAATTATCAAAATAAATACATATGTATATGTATGTATAAAAACAACAGAGTAAACATCTTAAATATATGTATGTATGTATAAATACACCAAAACTATTTTTAGCTCTTTAAATTTCAAGAATTTACAAATCATCCTTTTCTGCGAATAGATTCGCATAGACCCAGAAGAAGGTGCGTTGAACCGAGCCATTAAAGAAGCGAACTTAAATTTCTTATCCTGGCGACTTGAAATCCTTCGAAACTCGATGTAAAAATGTGGCTATATACAACTATGTATGTGTATGTGTGTGCATCCTCACATAGGACATTCCCAGACCGTTCACACACAAACATACCGACAGCGTGGGTGTATAAATATTCTTAATTCGGCAATAAAAAGGACAATGAAAAGCCACTCGTACACACACAGACACACCTACAAAGCTGTACATAAAGCACACACAGAGGCACCTTGCAAGTGGCCATATAATCACAAATAGCGGACGGTGCCTGTATACGTATACGATTTACATAAACAAACGGTACCATCTGCAAGCAGTGCGGAGCGGGGCAGAGAGGGAGCTAAGCAAGTAGGAGAAGCAGTGCGACGACGACGACTCTTCTTTGTCACCAGCGGCGCTGCTCGAATTCCATTGGTGCTGTGTGGCGACAGCAAAAAAAAAATCGAAGCGAATCGCCAAAGTGTCGTATTGTGTGTGACACCTACACCTACACACTGACACACACACACACTAGCGGCCGCTACTTTGCGGCGCAATCGCAATCGCATTGCCACAGCCACTAAAAACAGAGAGAGAGAGAGAGAGCGTCACAAACCCACACACACGAACACGGTGAGAGGCAGCTGCTGCTGCGCGAGCGAGAAAAGGACGGACAGAGAGCACACAGTGGACAAGACATCAAATGACAAAAATTTAAAAGAACCGAAGCCAAGGCAAAAAAGCAACGTGTGACGACAAGCGCAACAACAACGCAACAGCAGCGCTGGGAGCAGCAACAGCGCAAGCACTGCTATGTACACACCAGCATACATACTCACACACACACAAGGGACAAATTACGTGCTGGCCATTGCCATTTCATTCGAACTCGTTTCGGCTCTGTCACACGCGGACCGGCTATAGGCGACACTCACACTCTCATGCTCTTACACTCACTCCAGCACTTGGTGGGGCAGCTCTCGGCTGGCTTCTCTTTGGCTGGCGGACTGTGCGTGAGAGAGCTCTCGCCGGTGTGTGAGTGTGTGCGTTTGTGTGAGTGTGGTCAGCAAACACAAATACACGTGTCGCATGTCAACCCGCTTCGGTTTCGTCCACTCAGACGACAGTGTGCGAGCGGATCGGCGATAGCCGAAAGGCGAGCTCCCACTCGCACGCACTGCTTGCGGTCACGAGTGCCCCATTCCACATTGCTCTTTGGCCGTTAAAAAGTACCCACTGTCCAGTGGAAAGAGAGCTAAGAGAGCGGTTTTCGCTCTTCGGCGTCGCACTGCCTTGCCGACGCGCTCTCTAGCTGCCGGCTGGCGATGTGAGTGCGAGAAAGATGGCCGCAGCGGACAACGCGCTCTCTTTCGCTCTCCCGGTCGCCTAATGACCCATCGACGACAATGTGACACAAGCAGCCGCCGAAGGGAAGGCCAATTTCCAATAGCGCGCTCTCTCACACCAGCAAGAGAGCGAGCGAGAGAGCGCGAGGCAAGTGTCACCCACCCCGGTGTGTGTATTTGTGTTATGCGTGCGTGTGACTGTGTTCGTCGAATTTGTCGTCGACGTCGCCGCTGCTCTGCCGCAGTCGCTGTCGACGGCGACAATTCGAGAATCTGTCACCCACGACTCCTCTCATCCTAACAGACTGTTAAATGGAATTTTGGCCAAGATTATGTTAACCAGGATTTTGGACCAAAACACTGTTGAGGCAAGCCGGGCTTGGGTTTCTGGTGGGTGAAAATGTGAGGGGCGATGGTCATTGAACTTTTTAGTTCTAGGGGGTGGCAGTTTCCATGCCAGATTTTTCCTTAAAATGAAGACTTGTAAAATATTTACCTTACATTTGCATTTAAAATGTACATATTTTACTCATTAATATTTCATAATATCTATAGAGAACCAATTGACTCTAAACCCGGGCTTAGAAAATCATTACAGTGTCTTGGCGATAACTCCGTTTAACAGTCTGTTGGGATGAGAGCGAAGGTCATTCGACGATGCGGGCGTACGGCAACAGAGAAAGAGCACGGCAGAGCACACACACACACCGACTGCGGTGCCGGCAGAGAGGGCACGACGTCGATGCCGGCAGAGGGCACGACTGCGACGCAGAGAGCGCAAAACCTATAAATACGAGTGCAGACAACAAATTCAAAAAAAAAATTTCAACGGGCGCGGAAAATATACTCGAAGGGGATCTCTCGCTGCCTCTGCTCTCTGCACCGCATTCCTCTTCTGCCGCCCGCGCGGCTCGTTCTTCGCCTTCGTGTTCGTGTTCATATTCGTGACTGTCACTGTGACTGCGACTGCGAGTGTGACAGTAACTGTGTGTGAGCGTCGCGCAAGTGAACGACAATCGAAACGACAAACTTTTTTAATATCCAGTGAGCGGCGATGCACCGAAATAAATCGGCGGCGTAAAAAAGCACAGCACAACTCAAACGGCCGCACGGACCCATGGAAATAAGACGGGTGCCGACCGAATCTAAATTTTCCCAGCGAGCAGCACTTTTTTTTATGCCAGACCTGTGACAAAAAACGAAACAACAAAATTCTAAAAAAACTCTGGAACTCTGCAGCAAACAAGTGAAATTAAATAGTGAAATATTAAACAATACTCAACCCTCCACGGTTCTACGCGCGAGGACTCGCTTTTTGAGCGAAAAAAAAAGAAAAGAAAGGTACGTAGAGCGGAGAATTAATTCCGAAGATTTGCCGTCGGCAGAGTGAAGGTTGTGGTTTTTAGTGAAGAGAATGTCCAGACTTTAGAATATCTGAAAAATACTTGAACTATACCCCATACACAGGGTTCTATGTTGCGTAGATTTATCTTATCTTAAAAAATTAACAATTTTAAGTCGTGTTTTATGTGAAATATTACTGATTTTTGAATGTGGTTTTACTTTTCCCAAGCTGTGACAGATTTCAAGAATAGAATTAAGAATGACAACATTTCAAGTCAACTAAATAGAAAAATTAGGCGTTACGCATCTTATTTCCTTTGTTATCAGTTGCTATATTAAATGAATATCCATTTATAAATTCTAGTTAGAAATAACTGGGATTTCAAATGTGTCATTCAACTATAAATGTGTGTGTGTGAGCATTCTCCAGATTCCATTTTGATTTCGATTTTGGGTCTTGTAAACGCTCAGCTAACCGCACTTTACATGGAAAACACTACGACTAACGACACAGAGAAATACCAGGGGCTTCGGGGAATCGCCAAATGTCAAAGTTGTAATTAAGATTTTTGTCTGCCGTTCGCTGTTTTCGTCAAAGTCCGGCCATCGGGGTTGTCATCTGCGGACCACCACAATCCGGTCCCCTCTAGCCGCTAGTTTCTACCTCCGCCTCCTCCCGGCCATCCCCCGCGCAACTACTGCTTATTATAATGTACTACTATTAACAACAACTACAACAGCAATTATAGCTGCCGAAGTGCTCAGAGCTCGCATCTCTCATCTGGGGGCTCTTGGCTCTCGGAACTGGGATTCTTCAGTCGCTTCTCTTGTCTCGTCTTGTCTGATCTTGTCTTGTCGCTTCTTGTCCCGTCTTGTCTCCCGTCTTGGGTGTTGTGTTGGGGACTTTCATCATTTTGCTGCTGCCACTGCCGATAATCAAAAAAACGTTTCGTCCGAGCCATCAAAATTGTGATTGGTTTTTTGTTTTGCCGCTCGAGAGCCCCGCTTTTCGTCTGCTAAGACATTTTAAGCGCTTGACAAAAATAATTACCCTGCACCTGAGCACTCACCTGTGCACCAGGAGAAAAGTTTGGTTTTCCAGCGGACAAAAATGATCAAGAGTCCAAAAACTCGGCAACAAAACACTGATCTGGAGTTAAATCGGTTTAAAATTAATATTAAAGAATTAATTACTTACAAAATCCGTATCCCTACTCATTAACATTCTTAGATTATAGTACAGTCGCCTTAAATAATATTTTTCAAAGCTAATCCCCAAGAGAACGGAGAGAAGAGGGGAGACAAGAGCTAGTTCTTTCTTGAGATCTCGAATCGCCTTAAGTGCTTGACAATTGTCTTTTTTTTGCGCCGTGTACATACACGCATTTTAATGCTATTGTTGTTATCGTTACTAATGAGCCCCATAAAAACCGACCATCTCCTACCGTTCCCCCGTCTCCCTCCCCCCAGCGGTATCTGTATCTGTATCTGGCTTCGACGTCGTATTCGCATCTGTATCTGAGAGAGCTCCAGCCTCAGCTTTAGCCTGACATTGGGCAAGCGAATGAATGTGTGTCCGACTTTTGAGATCGATTCCAGATAGCTGGCCACGACATCGCCGCGCGATCATCATCGTCATCCGCCGCTCCGACAATTGTCCCCAGTGGAGAGCACGGGGATCAGAGCCACCAAGCACACTGTGCCGCTGGCTTTTGGCTTGGCCACAATTACGGTAGCCTAGCGATCGGAGTTGGAGCCAACAATAAAAGCCAGCTCTCCACTATGCTCTCCACCCCGATCCCGATCTCAACCCATCCAATCCAATCCAATCCGATCGGATCCGAAGTCTCCGACACCGACACCGATAGCCGCATGTTGTCGTCGTTGTCGGTGGCGATTTTAATGGCCAAAAAGCCAAAAAAGCTGTAAAAGATTTCGCTGAAGCAAATGAGGCAATGTGTACTTACACGAGTGAGTACTGTGAAGTGTTGCTAACTCGGATCGGGTTGATTCCATCTATAACTTGAATATTGTAGACTATAGCTTTGTATCTATATTTGTGGTTGTATGTATATATGTATTTCCCAGATACTTTTTTGATCTACAAGTTTCCTTGAGTGACAGCTTGAGGAGGTTCTACTGTAACTGTTGACTTGAAAGATTTGCCGACATTAGACCCCATCTATGAGAGCTGTGTGTGTGTTACCAATAAATCTGGCTGGATTTGCGTAAAGTTGGCTAAGCTCCTTGGGGGACTTTCACTTGGAAGTGTGGTAATACAGCTGATATATATTGGTTCCCCAATAATACGGATTAATTGTGGCGGTGATTGCTTTGCTCATTTTTGATTTTACAAGTGTCTACACTATACATTCGGGCTATAAAAATATCGCATATATGTATACATAGGAAGCATTTCCAAGTCGAGGTAATTGCCTGCTAGAGTATTTCAGTTTTAGTCACTAAGTAAGTCGTTGGTTAATTGAGCTTCAATACGCTGGCTCAATCCCTCCCTTGACTCTAATTGCGCATCAAATCCGGGTGTCCGTGTGTCCCCGTCCATGTCCCTGTCCCTGTCGCAAGTCCGCACTTGGCACGCCAAGTCCAAGGGAGGTCAGTGGGCTGACCTGCTGACCGCTGACCACTGGCGATAACGTCGATTCCGGATAGTTGCGCAATCGGAAAGGCATCAGGCGACGGGCAACTGGCAACGGGGGCAATCCCTGGCTAAGTTCGGCATTAGCTGCGATTAGGGTTGACCGACTGAGTGCCTCCCTGATTGACACCCCTGCTGATTGACACTTTCTGCTCTCTTGTCTTTGCAGCATATCGCGTAGGGAGACGGTGACGGAGAGACCCGCCGTAGTCATGGAGCACATGATGAATCCGTTCATGTCACCCGCTTATCTGCTCGGCCATGGCCCACATCCCCACCAGCATCCCCCTCATCCGCACCAGCACCAGCATCATGCCTCCTCGCCGGCCAGCTCACCCGGTGGCTCCAGCGGCTCTGGCTCTGGCTCGGGCTCGGGCTCCGCATCCGGTTCTGGTGTTTCCTCTTCGAAGCCGAAGCGCTGGGGCTCGCCGCCCATTAACCTGGCCGGACAGTTCATCAACCCGGCGACGGGTAAGAAGCGCGTCCAGTGCTCCATCTGCTTCAAGACCTTCTGCGACAAAGGCGCCCTGAAGATCCACTTCTCGGCGGTGCATTTGCGCGAGATGCACAAGTGCACGGTGGAGGGTTGCAACATGGTGTTTAGCTCGCGACGCTCCAGGAATCGCCACAGCGCCAACCCCAATCCCAAGCTCCACTCGCCGCACATCCGGCGCAAGATCTCGCCGCATGACGGACGCACGGCCCAGCAGTTCCCCGTCTTTCCGCCCGGAGCGGCCGCCGCAGCTGCTGCCGCTGCCGCCGGACGTCTGCCAGCCGCCTTTCCTGGATTGCTGCCTCCGCCGCCGCCGCACCACCACGGTCACCATCCGTACGTGATGTTCCCGCATGGCCTGGGCCTGCTGCCTGGCTGCCAGGACCTGTGCAAGGCAGATCCCGAGGCAGACACCGATCCGGAGGCCGATGCCGAGGATGACGGCGACTTTGTGTACGTGGACATGCAGGCCAATAGCTCCAGTCCGGCGGCCTTTAGCGAGGAGGAACCGGACCAGGACCAGGATCAGGATCAAGATCAGGATGCGGACCCAGATCAGTATCAGGATCAGGAGCCGGACGAGGAAATGCACTGCGGACTGAGCCTGGCCAGCAGCAGCCGGAGCAGCAGCAGCCGCTGCAGCGTCGGCGCGGACGAGGAGCGCGCGGACCAGCCGCTGGACTTTAGCCTGCACAAGCGCTGCAAGTCGGAGGCCGACCAGGACCAGGAGGTTAAGCGGGAGCGCGACTGGGAGCGGGATCAGGAGCAGGAGCAGGAATCGGAGAAGGAGCACGAGCTGAAGCGGGAGAAGCGCTCGCCGAGTCCCTGCGGTGGAGCCTTCTCCATGGAGCGGCTGCTGGGCAAGCGTAAGCGCCACGACAGCAATGCCTCGAGCTCCGGCGGTTCCACTGTAGCCGCTGCTGCCGCCGCCGCCTGCTCCTCGGGCTCCTCTCTCCTCCCAGAGACGAGCATCAAGATGGAGCTGGACCAGGAGGGCGACAGCATGGATCTGTCCCGTCGGCGCCCAGTGTTGCCGCTGCCCGTGCTGGACCTTGAGGAGCAGCACCACCTCCGGCTGCTGCAGACGCAGATGTTCGCTGCCGCAGCTGCCGCCGCTGCTGCCCAACCGCCCACCGCCTTCCTGCCGCCGACTGGATCTCCCGTGGAGCTGCCCAAGGGCTCGCCGCCCATGTGGAGCCTGCTCTCCGAGATGTACCGCTCCATGCTACTCAAGACGCAGCAGCAGCAGCAGCAACACCACCACCAGCAGCAGCAACAGCATCAGCAGTTGCAGCAGCAGCAGCAGTTGCACCAGCAACAGCAGCACCACCTCCACCTGAGCCACTTGAGTCTGGATCGGCATCGCCACCACCACCACCACCTGGGCCAGCACCACCAGCAGCCGCAGCCTCAGCAGTCGCCGGCGGCGACGAATGCCGCCATCTCCGTCTAGCTCTAGAGGATGTCCTTAGTCAAATGTGTTTTTATTTAGAATCCCGGGGATGCGTTGGCTGGCAACGGGTGTGGGAAGCGGGCGTGTGCAAAGCCCGGCCATTAAATGGTCGGCACTCCTCCTCAGGCACGTCCCCGTGCCGCCGTCCACCACCGTGCGTCGTCGTCGCCTGTGTCGTCCTCACCAAACTGGAATTGCTCCGAAACTTAGCTTTTTTTCCACGTACTTGTGTTATATACAATTTTTTTTTTTTTTTTTTTAACGTATTTATAACGATACCGTAATGCGACATCTAAGCATATAGTATTCAATCCGTTCCTCAGAGCATCAGCGGGATGTGTATGTGTGTGTGAGTGCGAGAGAGTGTGTATGTGTGTGGCTGAATGAGTGTGTGAACGGGATGAGGATCTTGGGATTTATGGCCGATCCAAATCCAAATCGATATCCAAGAGGCGGGCTGGGCAGTGCAGGAGCAGGGATCGGGTTCGGGTTCGGGCTGGGGTTCCCTGCCTCCCTCGATCGGTGTACAACGAAGTATTGATATTTATAACGCAAATATACATATATATATATAACATACGCATTATATTAAATAGTTGTAAGTGAAAATTTTTTTTCGTAGCCAATAAAACAGTCGATATATTGTATAACTTGATGTACTAACCCCCCCAATTGAAGCATATCCTTCGGATACATAGGTTGCTAGATCGTAAGTGAACGAAATGTTATTGCTCTCGTGAATGAATTATTGCTCTCCCCTGAAACGATTGTGTATTACATGATTTTAAGTTTTCATTAACAATAAACAGTGGCAAAATTGAAGAGAAAACCTTTAAATGAATGCGATTTTTAATGCGTGGGCATGGGATATAACAGAAGTGTGTGTTTATGGGCCTTAAGCAATGCTAAGCTATGAAAATTAGGTGAGTAATGGAACCAAGAACCACTCAGTTTACGGAAACAATATATACAATAAGTTTATTCTATCGATTCTGTTCCAGATTCTTATTTCTTTAATCATAATTTGAGGGTTATTTAAGATCAGATTGGACAGAGACAGCCCTCATCATCACAATGCGCTTTGTAACCTTTAAAAAACTATATAAAAAAATATATATGTATATTATAAAAAAACGACCATAGAACTTGTCGTTCTAATGCCATCTGTTTAGGATCTCCATACCACTCTCCGCCAATCAAATGGGAAGTGTTAAGACCTTTGATGTGATTCATGGCGGATCCGACGCCTCAAGTCAAGCGCTGGGGGGTGCTTTTTCTTCTTTTTTGAGACCGAAATCTGCCCAAAAGAGCGTACATACATATATACAATATCTAGATATGTGTATGTATGCTTATTCGGTATCCATGTGTACAGATTCGATTCAAATGTGTTTAATATCGGCGATCTGATGAGATCTATAATGGGAAACGCCCTCGAAAGTGTCTCGCTCTCCTGCTCGCTCTCGCACGGCCCGTCGGAAGGCGTGACATGCGGCATAAATTGTTTTTTTTTTTTCGGCCTCTGCGACTATAATTCCCCATATACCACTCCGCTCTGTTTTGCGCTCATGATGAATGCCCAACTATTGGTCGCGGCGGCAACCACATCATCGTCATCATTATGGATAGGCATTTGAGGCCACTTATGGACGGATTACACACTCGTTCGCTCACACACACACACACAGACTAGATAGTACCCCTACCCGATCCGATCCGATCCGACCCGTTGTAAGATGTCGGCGGTACGAATCCGCACACTCATCCACCGTTCACAAGCAGCATATGTACTATATACTATATACTATATACATATATATATATATATTTGTATGCACACGGATCGGTGGAACCCGGTGAGATACAGTTCTCTTTTGTCACTCCATCGTCACAGCCACTCCCGTTTTCAGTTCCAAAACCCAGGATAAGCACACTAGGAGAAAAGTTATCAGGGCTTTTTTGGAGAGCTATTAGAGACTATAAATCTAAGGATCTCTTAACTCCTTAATCTGAACAAACAATAAAAATGACATATAAACTTGCCCGTGTACAAATCGGTTATCTAGCCTTTAGTTATTTATCCAAACGAAAAAAAACTAACGGATACACTTCACTTAAAGCAGCTGTAAAACCTTTTTCATTTACTGAAATCATCTGAAATCCATTTAGTTATTTTGTCCAGTCGAAAAAGAGAGTTCTTTTATTAAAATCTAAAATCTATTTGTTATTTTGTCGGGTCTTTGCCGTGTCTTCTCTATCTTAGCAGCTTCTTTATGTGTCTGTTAAATTTTAACAGTGAAGAACTTAGCTTATAATTCCCAAGTGAGTTGTGGCTAGATTATAGAGTATAATATTTAACCCACAAAATATACAAGCTATATGTTATTAATAATTATGTTTATTATGTATAATTATTAAAATTTATGAAACAGAAATATATCTGTAATTTCCGACGGTAATGTCTGCCAATGAATTAAAGCATAAATAATATTTAGTAAAAAACTATGTTTTAAATAATGTTTCATTGTTTCCCTCCGTGTATTTGCAAAATCCCAGCTAAAAATTCCGCATTCATATGGAGAACGGAGACCCGCACAACACACACACACTCTCGGAACACACATAGTTGCGTGAAACCGAAACCGCAAAATTGACATGGATGCGAGACTGTGAAAATGTCAAGTGGTTTGAAGCGAAGGATACGAGTCGAGGCGAGTCGCAGCGCGTCGCGTCGCGTCGAGAGTTCCGTGCTTGGAGCTTGGAGATCCCAGAACTCGGGGCACATCACATCAGCTAAGCCAATCCGTCAGTGAGCCCCATTCCGCTGGAGTGGATGGAGATGGAGGCCGGGGCGAGACCTCCGAAGCTAAACGCTTGCCACATTATGAGATGATCCTTGGCAGCGATGTCACTTGAGACAAACAGAACAGTGTCGGGCAAAGACAACGGAACGGAATGCTGCAAATGGTGCGGACTCATCTCTTGGGATCTATTTACTTTTAAGTTTTTGAATTGGATGATGTCACGAGGCTGCCTCGGAGATGGGAAAGGAGCTGGAGGTGGAGCTGGAGCTGGAAACACGGACATTCAGGCGCAGACTTGGACTGGGATGAGTACTGCTGGCTGGGGTGGGTGACTTCTTTTTTTTTAATGCCGAGTTCTTATGCTCTGAAGAGCCAAAACGGAAATGGCAAAAAAAGGTTCGCACAAGTCTGGCTGAGCTTTGGGAACACCCTTTCATATGTGGGTCTACGGGTTGCAACACATTTCTAAAGGGCTTGGAATGAATATAGCATGGAAAATAGCGTATATTGAAATATTTAAATATATTTATTTAGACTTAATAAGTTACTTACTTCCCCATATCATAAATAAAAAGAAAATGTATAAAATATCCAATTATATATTCTATAGAATGTCCTAAGAGCATTTCATCTTCGTTGTGCTTTGACCGAAATGTCTTCCTGCGGTCTTTTGGCTTTATGAAATATTAGAAAAAATTTTACAAAGCGTTAAAAATTAACATTTCAAATGGGATTGGGATTGGGTTTGGGCTTTGGATAGGACTTGGGCCTGGGATAGACTCGTTAGCATGTGTGTGTGTGCTGTCAGGGGGATGCAAATGCGTTTATTTTTGGAGACAATTGAAATCCACTCGAGGGTTATTGAGATGTGACAGTCAAGTAGCTGGAGTCGCGTCGAGACGAGTTGAGTAACTTGACGTTTGAAATAGGATCAACGCACTCGTTCGCGTTCTCGTTTAAGTTCTCGCTTGTTGCACAGCGAATCCAATGGATTGCGAAAGCGATCCAGATACAGATACAGCTACAAGATACAGTCACTAGCTACAGTTAGAGAATGTCCAATGCTCGTCACGTGGGGCATAAATGCCTGACAGCCCAGTGACACAAGCAACCCATGAAAACGTAAAGAGGGTTGGGACCCCTCTCACCCACTGGGGGTAGTTAACGGATTGGCAACATGTTCTCGTATCTGTCGTAAGTGCGGGGCATACATCTCCCTAATGCGCTTGTAATTCCCCATATGACAGTTTATAAAAGGAGTGCCCGAGGCGGCGTTCTTTGTTGTAATCAATGGTCCTGCGATTTAATCTCCTTACTGGTTTTGAGTGTTTCTTTTCTGATATGAATTGGTACTTAATTTAAACAATATATCATTTAATGGGAAAATTTCTTTGATAAGAACGTACAGGTAACATTGTAGTGATTAGACTTACTTTTAGTTACTATATAACTGGGGTGTCCAAGGCCCTGACTTCCCAAGTCTGCAATATGGAAACTTATACTTTTTAGATACTTTGCGAGTCAAGAGTTAAACAGAAACTCCTATTCTTATTCGTATTCCTATTTCCTATTTATGATTATTCCCTTGATTTGATAATGCAAATCAACTCTTCGATATTCAAGTAACCAAGTTCTGATTCCATTCGGCATCTTCTTGCTGGCATTTGTGATGGCCTAGACGTCATAGTAAGCGTAATTGTAGTGCCATACGAAAATGGCAGGGGAAGCACACATGCGACAACGTGGAAGCCGCTGTTCGCAGTCGATTTGAGTTGAGCCTGAGCCCTCGGGGCAGCCGCAGAATCAGCAGCTCGTCTTGTGCCCTTACCTGTGTCCCGAGCCCAGCCCCAGCAGGTTCCCATGAAATGTAAATTAAAATGTCGAATTAATTGCCCAAGTACATACATACGTAGCCGCTTCTTGGTATCGATGGCTGGCTGAGCGGCGACTAACGAGATTCAATCAGCGGCACTTTAGCAGCGTTTTCTTGTCATTAAAATTAAGTATATTTACTTACTCGGAACCAAGCAGCCGAGTAACCGTTGATACCCACAATTACCGATATCAGAAACGAATTTTATTGTGCTCCTGGACAGTAGTAGTAATTCCCGCAGTAAAACGATCCATTTACCGATCGAAGGAAACAGAAGCGCATCGCAGAGACCGCAAGATACCCGGGGGACTGCACTGGCGACCCAGTTTGGACTTGAGCCACACACAAGCACTCCTCAAAATTGAAATGACAAATTCAAATTACCGTCAGGGCAGTTTAAGCGACTTCATGGGAAAGTCTCTCTCGGGTTTTTAATTGCTTCAAATGCCATAAACTCACTGTGCTGGGGGTCTTTGCATTTACACGACACTGGGATGACACAATATTTTCCCAAATAGATTTTAGAAATACAAAAATAGGTGTAAGTCTGTATGTGATATGGAGTAGGTCTAAATCGTGGCCTCTCAGAGGCTCC